TATATATATATATATATATATATATATATATACACACGAAAGTCTGAGGATTTTTCAAAAATAGTCTTTTTATCTCCACCAAGGGAGTACACTCTATTCTCATCAAACCCTACTTCGTAGAATTTCACTGGATATGATAATGTTGTGTATATAGGTATAATAGATAAACATATTATTTAACTTGGTCTCAATTAGTATTTAGGCATAATACGACCCTTAACTTGGCGTCAATTGGCAACTATGACACATTCATCCTACATAGGAGCCAACATGACAATTTTATTTTCTACGTGGCGTCCTACGTGTATTATGTCATGTAGGACATGTGTGTCTAATTTATCAATTTTATACAAGTTTAAGTGTCTAGTTATACAAAATTAAAGTTAGAGGTCATAGTTGTCTGTTGAAGCCAAGTTAAGGGTCTTGTTTATGTACTATACCTAGTATTTATGCCCTTAAACTATGAGTATATACAAATAAACACTTACACTTGTATGAGGTTAAACAAGTAGATACACGCGTCCTACATGATATTCTACATACAAAGTGCCACATGAGACGCAAATTGAAAATAGGACGCCACATGTCAACTTTATACGATTTCATGTCTACTTGTGCACACCTGAAATTGAAAGACATAGATTCGTAATGAGACCAAGTTAAATGGCATATTTATATGATATTTATTAGGTATATACACAACATATACAACCGAATATATATATATATATATTTAGTCATATTGATAAACTAAATGATTTTAGGGCATCTACATTATGTTTTTTCTTTTGATTTTTTCATTAAAATCTCTGGTCCATCATTTAGATATATATCTATGAATATATAGGGAACACAATTTGAAGGATGGCATGGAGTTTGTTTTTTGTAATATATGGCAAGGTTATGGTCCCAGAGACAAAGCAAATGGGAGTGTTGACTGTACAAATGCCATTAGAATTTGAAGCACTGTCCCATTCATTAAAAGTATGAATACCAAACCTTAGTGGATCTCTCAGAACTCATGAAGAAAAAAAAAATCTTTATAATTGTTGGAAATATATATCTATCAAGTTTTTTTTAGTTTTTTTTGCATGCATAGATTGTCTTTATTTTGGAGTGGTGATTATTTAATTAATAATGAAAATTTGTGGGCTAGAATATCTTTAACTATGAAGTAATTTTGTTAACACAAAAGTTTTAGAAAACTTTTGCCTAATCCAACAAAAATTATGTAGATAAATTATGAGTTGACCGAGCTTCTGAACTTATATATATCTCTATCAGCATATACAAAAAGATTATGATGTCAAAATCTTGTGCCCTTGTTTTTTCAATTTACCGGCATAAGTATCATATGAACTAACTTATGTGTTATAAAATATACACATAAGTTTTGTAAGAACTAAATTATGCCTTCTAAGATGTAACTTATTGGTTAGGCTTAAGTCATACAGAGCCCCTTAAAGTTGTCCGCATAATTCACTTAGACACCTTAACTAAGACTAGTACCTATTAAACACTTTTAGACTTCAAATTTATACCACTTGAGCACTTTTTGCCTGCCTGGCATTGTGAGTGTGATTCACCGCTCATAAGAGCGTGAAAGAATTTATTTTTAGTTGAATTATTTATTTTTTAAAAAAAAACAGTCAACTTTCTTCTTCTTCTTTGTGCTTCTTTGCCATTAATAATTTCTCATGCAATCGCCATTGCCATTGCAATCTTTTTTCAAATTTATCATTATCGCTGCCATCACATACTCCTCTTTTGAGCAACCACCAACATCTCTACCATTAACCTATATATGGTCGTTTTATTTCTTAAGGTCTAAAATCGCCTGAACCTTTTTTTCTTAAGATCTAGAACTGAATATTTGTTGATTTATGAAAGTAAGCAAAGTTATAGATTGCAATTTAAACAATTCCACCACCTCTACCATTAATGTTTTACTCTGTTCTTTTCTTTTCTCCAGATCTTAGAATATTATTTTATTGTTAGATTTTTTAAATTATTTTTTTCAAGTCTAAATCTGCCATTATTGATTTCTGGTAAAGAAGAGGAAGAAAAAGAAAAGAAAAAAGTGGTTCAATGGGCGACATTAGACGTCTTCATTTTTATTTATTTTTTTGAATTTAATGATTTGTCATTGTTGATTCATACAAATGAAGAAGAAAAGTTTATTTCTTGGCTTTTCTTTTTTAAGAGTTAGAAAATTATTTCACTAAAATAATAACTCAATTTCACAATTAATTGTTGATTTTCCTTGGACTTTTTTCATTGTTGAATTATGAGAAAACGAGTTGTGATGGTGAAGGAGATGTACAGGGACATTTTTTTAAAAAAAATTGAAGAGTTTTTCCTTTATTTTGGTCATAACTTTTTCGTTGTTACTTTGACTCAAAAAATAACTCAAAATGCCATATATGCACCATTTATTTGACAAATTTCCATGTCAGCGCGAGTGTACTACACTCATTTTATATTTTTAGCTGATTGTCAAAAAATGCTCAAATGGTTATAATTCGACTCGGTAGAGGTGTTTAATAGGTACATGTTATAATTAAGGTGTTCAAATGAAATATGCGGACAATTTTAAGAGCTTGTAGCCTATTGGTTATGAATTGAACATTATAATTCTAATGACATGGATTTAAGTGACATAACTTGTTTTACCTTGACATAATTTGTGTTGTATTATGAAAGGGAAATATACACTTTTGTCTTGTAATTATTTTCCGATGTCAAGGGTATCTTCGTCCACATTTTTCTTACTTAAAGCGATTGAAGAGAAAATTAAAAATCATAAATTTGAAGAACAAATATTAAAAATCATTCCAAAACTAGTATATTTATGTGCCAAAATGACCTATATACTATATGGTTCCAGTGTATAGAAATACACCATTATGATATAGAAAAATAGAGGTTTTATTTATGGAAAAATTGTATATAATAGCAAACTAATAACCTAAAATAAATAGAGTAGCTAGGGTTTGATGTAATTGTGCTCCATAACAAATGTTTGCAATAGGGCCTAGGGTTAGTTATCCAAAAGAGAGGGGTGGAAAAAACCGCTCTACATTTTCTATGTATATTCACAAGTTCATTTTCGCTACGAAAAATTCATAAATCTCTTAAATTAGTATTTACGATTTGAATACTAATAACAATTTATTAAAAACATATACTCACTAGTAGTATTAGTTTTCTGAGTTTTATGTCGAGCACACTTTGCTGCAAATTTACAAAACTGAAATTGACATGTCTTGAAAAAGAAAAAGAGTCTAAATCTAAATCATGACTTATCCCATTAACTTGTCTTTTTTTTTTTTAAATAACTTTTTCATGTTACCCCTTAGATTTTCTTTTTTAACATGTCAATTTCTAGACCTATTAAAAAAAATATAATAATATATAGAGACAAAGACATAATCAAGAAAATAAACCTTTTTGTCTATATATATTCCTTTGTCTGTAAAGAGTCTGCAAGATGTTTGTTAAGTGCTTTGAGGTTCAATGCAATTTTCTGCCTTATTTATAAAAGCTACATGAGTTGTTTTTTGCCCATTTTTCAATACTTGGTGGAGTATTGTCTGATCAAATCAAATTTGTACATTATAAAAGTTTAGGAAATTAACATATGAAATTCCATAAATAAATAAATAATACTTCACTTTAAAAAGGTGAATTCCTGATTTTTATAACGACCTTGTTCATTTTGGGTCTAGGTCTATACAACTTTAAAAAAATTACAAATGTATACTGCATGCATACCTATATACCCAACATCTCTCGTGCTAGTGTCACTGACGTAACAGGAAAGTTCATCTGAAATATTTCCGATGAACCAACTTGATTCCCGATGGATTGGATATTTTCGTTGGACGTATTATTACAACAACAATAACACATTCGGTATGATTTCATGTGTGGAACTAAAAAAGATAAATATGCGCAGATTCTGCCCCTATATCTTTATGGGATAGAGATAGATTTTTGATAGATCTTCGATTCCGATGAACCAACTTGATTCCCGATGGATTGATATTTTTGTTGGACGTATTATTACAATAACAATAACATATTCGGTATGATTTCATGGGTGAAACTAAAAAAGATAAATATGCGCTTATTCTGCTCCTATATCTTTATGAGATAGAGATAAATTTTTGATAGATATTTGAATTCCTTTGACTTACTATTAGCAGGCCATAATGGAAATGTCACAAATAGGAGCAGTAAACTAGGTTAACTAACTAAATTGTTCTGTTCCTAGTCATAACAAACCAAATTTGTTCAGACTCAACTTTTGTAAATTCTAAATCCAGTAAAATTAAAGCAAAGGTATGTCACATCTTTAGGGTTCTCGCAGTCAATAACAAGTCATATCAACTCTTTAGCACCATTAAAGAAGTCATATAATGGGTGCTGTTACTTTTTTCCTTTATATTATTCCCCCCAATATTATTCAATTTCTGCATGGTTTATTGAAACTAATAATCTCATTAAATAAAAGCCATAATTTGAAAATAAAAAAAGTAGTGTTTGTATTTAACTATAGTTTGTCTTTAAAATATTTTCGAAACAGCCTGAATCATCAGCTAAGGCTCCTAAATGACCACTTAGAGGTGCAAAGACGAACAAGTTCAACCAATTTTTAAAAGAAGTTTCACTTTCACTCTCAATCTCAAAAATCTACGATCAAACGGAAGCTTAGATTTTTTAATTGGTTAGTCATAGCTAGTGATATTATTTTGTAGCACTAGAGACAATAAAAGAGAAGAATGTGAAGTGTATCTATCCAAGAATAAAGTGATTCTGAATTAAATATGACTTTACCTGCTATCTCTGTAAACTTGTCTAACTTACTTTATCTTTAATTTTACAGAAATAAAGGGGAAAAAAAATAGACAAAGCCCAATACAATTGAGTTAACCAAGAAAAAAATAACTAGTACTTTTCAGGTAAATCATTGGCAAAAAACAGTAAGGTAAGAGAGGTTTTCAATAAATAAATATATTCTTTTACTTACTAGTAGTATCATGTTTGCAATTGAGTATACATCAGATGATCAGAATCATTAAAAACAAAAAGTAAGAAAACTAAAAAAGAAACATGATTATTTTTCACTCATGCTCTTCTTGTCATTGAATCTCTCCTATTCCTAAGTCCTAACTACTTAAAATAAAAGAATCTTGGAAACAAAAATCATTGTCATTTCCCCACTTGGCATTACGCTTTTGGTCTTTACTTCGTCCTGCAAATACATTGACAAACAACAACAACATATTCAGTATAATCTCCAGGTACGAAGAAAGTAGAGCGTAAACAAACCTTACCCCTACCTCGTGGAGCTGTGGAGGTAGAGAGGTTGAACATGTGTATCAAATCAAAGTTGTTATGAAAAAGGAACTACGACATAAGTATAGCTAAGGTTTGTCAAGACATGTAAAACTGAGGTGATTTAACATTACCTTATAGAAAAAGGATGATAACTGTGCCAAAAGATAGACGTTGCCACGGGGAGTTTGGTAATTAACAAGTCGAGTTATGCTTCTCCTAAGTGTTACAGAAATGTATATGTAGTCCATGTCGATTCAAGTTAAAGTTAGTCATCAAAATTTTGAATATACACCTGGTCAAAGAAAAGAGGATGGATATTTTTAGAAAAGTGAAGGTGAAACCTGCAGAATCAAGAAAAGAGATAAAGAGGAGGAGGAGTAACCTTTTTCAGTTAGTGGGATAAGAACGGTCCCAAGCGTTCTTCAGGTTTGAGTTTCGTCAAAGTGGTTCCCGCCTGAATCTGGGGACCAAAGGAGAAACAAGATAAGGACCACTCAGTAGTAGGTTCAGACGAAAAATCAGAGGTGAAAACAATTCCAGGGAAAGACCAAGGGACATAATGTTTTAAGGCCACTGAAGTAATACTGAGTGGTAAAAACAAGAAATGAATCTGTCGTTAGAGAAGAATCCTATGAAGAATCTGCATATTTTAGAACAAACAAACATTTCATGCCTGGTGATGATAAGTGTATGGTTCAACTTTCTTCACAAAGTGATAAAAGATTCATCTAAGAAGTTCGGGAAAAAGAATTGAGCTTTTGTTTCTTCTAAAGCCGTGTCATGCATCAAATGTAATCAATAGGAGAAAAAGTTATGTTCACCAAATTGATGATAAGTAGTCAAGATATAGGGAGCATACCGAAAGCTGAGGTTTGGTATCCTCCGTTCTCCTTCAAAAGAAGCAGAGTTCGGTATAGCCATGAGAATATGGCAACAGCTCCTCCACCTCGATTCTCGAACTTGAACAACTCATACTTTTCCTCAATCTACTTGGGACCGACTCCACTTCAGCCCAAAATACACTGGAAACGGGTCTATGATCTGAAAATCTAGACTCCCCACGAACATAAGATAATTGCTGAAGACCACCTCCGTGCCACAATATCCGATCACACCTTCAAATATGAAAGGGAAAAGATCAGTTCTAGTCTCGATAACTAAATTAAACATTTTATCGATAAGGAATGCATTATCATTTAATTTGTTTATTTTATCTTAAGACTTCTTGGTATGAGCTATTTTGAGATTTCAAGAATGATGTTTGACATTTTAAAGGAAAAGCATGTACCATGCAGGTGTTCGTCGTTTCTCTTTCGGGTGCATGTCATCTCCTGCATACCTATCTGAATTCCTTGAATATTTGTATGTTGGTGGGAAATATATCTTTCCTTCTTTCCATCCGACAAAAACCCGACCTTGTCTCTGTTCTATGCGTAGCTGTCAACGAAACTCAAACAAAATCAGTCCAACATTGTTGTATAATGAGTTCCAAACTGATTTTAACAAAGAGAATGGATAAAAATTCTACTTAGATTGTGAAAATACCTGGTCCTTTTCCAACAAAGCTCTCCAATTTTGCATCTCAACGAGTGCTTTGGCAGAACGGTACGAGAGTGCAATTCGATAATTCAGATCCCCAAGCCAAATAACTCGGCTAATAAAAATAAGGATAATTGTTAGAGAACGTAAATATTTTCATGTCAGATGAAATGAAGCGGACCATCAAAATTGATCATATCATTCAAACCCACAGTAAAACAAGAGAATTGGTTACTTATAGTTTTACAGAACTAATTGTATTAAACTTTCTTCATTCCATTTTCCCACTTTCATGAGCTTGTGTTCAAAATCAGCTATGTTGCTTGGGCTCTCCAAAAATACCTCACGAGGCATCTTGGATCCTCAAAATGTAGTACATTTAGGAGGATCCAACACGAGTGCGGAAGCATTTTTGGAGAGTCTAGCAATGAAGGATCTACGAAGTAAAAAGTAGTCTTACTCGTGTTCAAGGATATTTTCAGGGGACTTCTCTTCATCCGCACCACTTACTCGCGGAAACCTTGTTTTCTTTATGATCTCCATAAAATCTGCATTTCTGCGTAACTCGTCACCCTCTTTCTGACCAGAGGTTAGGTGAGTGCAGACAAAGCAAAAGCTTGTCTGATGCAACATCATACTTACTGAAATAGAACCCTGCAAATCCAAGTAATGGAATAACATGTTACGTATGCTTTTCGATATCATTAAAAATAAGTAGAAATACTTAATTTAGCCAGAAATGACTAATATTTCCCATTTAAAATTACCTTATTTCCAAGATAACCCATCAACCCTCTGCCAACACATGATACTTTCATATTACGGACATGTTCCCTCAATTCACTTCGTACCCATACAGTAAGAAAAATGCCAACCATCTGTTTACTGGCTACCAAACAGTATCTTGAGTTTCTAGGCATTCTATTACCGTCTTCTGCACCAGTCACAGGTGAAAACAAAACAGTACTTGGTGAATCTCCAGGACCATAATCATCATCTGAAGAACCCCATCTGGAGAAATCACTTGGCCGCTGTCCCCAAGAATAGTCACTTGGCCTATGAGCAGATGAATAATCACTTGGCCTGTGACCGGAGGAATAGTCACTTGGTCTGTGACCAGACGAATAGTCGCTCGGCCTGTGACTAGACGAATAATCACTAGGCCGGTAACCAGAAGAATAGTCACTTGGCCTGGGACCGTAGTCACTAGGTCTGTGGCCCCATCTTATGTTAGGATCAAAGTCACTCTGTCTATGTCCAGAAATAACTCTATCACACACGCTGTATCGTCTATCAAGGCGAGGTTGCGAGATGGATGGATCATTTTCCATTCTCCAACATTGGGGAGTCTGGAATGATCGACGAGGAAATAAGGATGCCTTGCGTCTACCTGACCCCTCGAAATCAGCATTCCATTCAGCAATTGGATCTGGGACAGGAGAAGGAGTATAGCAGCCACTACTACCTCCACTACTACCAGGACCATTATTAAGTGTCTTTCGTATCAAAGATAGCCATTTTTTTGCAGGTCCATTGTCTTCAGCTCCAAGGATGTTACCAGCATTTAAAGGAACTATTTCTTGAAATCTGATTGTAAAAATCAAATTTTGTATCAGTCAGCTACTATAAAGGACAAAAATTGCAAGGATACATAATGACAGATCTTGAAACTCATACCCAAGTACATAGATATCTGCAGGTGGTGCTGAATGAAGCCAATCATCTAGACTCAAATTACTTGATGGTGATTTTCCACCCACGTTCCACGTGGCAACGAAAACGCTGTGCCAAGAACAAAACACAATCATGCTTCTACCCCTAAAAAAGGAACAGTATAGAAGGACAGAGATATATGAAGAGTACAAACCTGTAGTTGTGTACATTTATAATTTGAGGGTGATCAAGATCAGCTCTTCCTCGTCGGGGACGTTCCATACTCCGTGAAGAATTTGATTTTTCTACTTATTTGAGAAGGCAAGGTGATATGAATTAGCTTAACAATCAGTGAAGAACAAACTTATATATATACTAAAAACTGGGAAATGTATTCATACATTCAATAGTACCCTGTCACTAACCTGTTTTAGTTTTCTTAATCGTGCAATGTTCCCTCTCCGAGATGCTCGTTCTCCACTCATCGCCACCTAAAAAGATGAGGACATTCATTTATGCTTCAATTCACAGTTGAAGGGTAGGTAAAGTTGGTAAAAATCAACCAAACTTCATCAATATTACTAGCAGAAATAGAAAAGATTAGCTTTAACTTTAGCTTGATGACATTTTGAGAACCTAATTAGAGAATGTAGCCATCAAATTCAGTAATAGATAGAGAAAACAAGACTTATTCTACTGATCCACGAATTCGAAAATTCAGGCATTTCCTTCAATTATAAAATTTCAGTGTCTTCTAGAAATTTTACTAGTACCCTTGTAATTCTTATCATTATGCAAAAACATTCACCAGTCAGCAGAGACATCAAACACAAAATATGAGATCTCCCATCTACCCATCCACCTCCAAAATGAAACAACAAACAGAGAAAAGAGAAAACAATAAAAGATTCACCTCCAACTGCTCATACAACAACAACATAACCACTGAAATCCCATAAGTGAGATCCCAAGAGGGTAAAATAAAGGCAAACCTTACCACTACCTCGCACAGATATTCGAGTGCTCATAATTTCAAGAAAACCCCAATTCACCAAAACAAAGTTTCTCTTTTTTTTTCAAGCTCAAAAACCAGAGGACATTAGATACCTACCTCCATAAACAACTTCATCAGACTGGAATTCTTCAGTTTTTCCCTTAATATTGAACCATTTTCTGACAAGTTTCTTTGACCAGGAGAGCTTCAGCAATCAAAACAAAATGTCAAGCAAAATAAACACTTGTAGAAATGCAAAAAATAGAAATTCCTTAGAAAAAACAAAAATTACAATTTCCAAGAAATGAGAACAAAAAGGAAATAAGCTTAAGACAACTCATGTATTCACCTTGCTCTTTTTGGAATTTTCATCTCTCATTTTTTCACTATTCCTTCATGCACCCTTCTTTAGTTTCAACTTACAATACACAAAATCATACAAATAAAGAATCAAGAATCAATAAAGCTCAAAACTTTATCAAGAATCACTCTTCTTTCTTCTTCTTCTTTGAAATATAAACCAAAAATCCAACACCCCAAATAGACCAAATTGCAAATGAGGCACTAAGAGAAGTTCAATCTTGGGTATCTCTTAAAAAGCATAAAGATTGTTCCTTTCTTGTTCAAATTCACTCTTGTGATATATGGGTATTATTGTTTTTAACCCAAAGATTTTAACACTATATAGAAGAAAGAAAAAGGGGGAACTTGAAACAAGAGACAACTACACTACTTTAAGTTAAGCACAAGACAATGTAGGCCAAAAATAGATAAGAAAAATTAAAGAAAGAAAAAGAATGAGAGAGAGAAAGCAAAAGGGGGTCCTTCTCTTCTTTCTTAGTAACCAGCAAAGTAAAGAATTTGAACAGAATAAAGTGCACATAAACAAGAGAAGACTGATTTCTTGCTTTATAAATTTCTTGTTTTTTTTTGAACCTCAAAACCCAATGTCATATGTCGTTTTGATGTGATTTTGTGAATAAAACGACTTGGTCAATTGCTCTAAAGATGTGCTCTAATTGGTCAGCAAAAGGTGGAAGGGTGCAAGATTTGGTTAGACTAAAACTACCCCTTCTTTAGAAACAAAATTTCTTTGGTCTTACAAAATTAAAGTTTTATAAAAATAAAGGCAACTAAAGATAAAGGCACAATGTGATGTTGTTGTTGCAGCAGTAATTGTAGTACTATACATTTTTTTTCCGCCCGACCTTCCTATTTTATATTGAAGCTCCGATTAAATTTAAATCACACATTATAGGATCATTTTAGAGTTCAAACTTAAAACTTCTGGTTAAGAATGACTGCACCACAACTCATATTGATACTTGTCACATATATAATCCTAGTGTTTGAGTCAGCAAGTACAGAACATAATGTATCACATGCATTAATCGATTTTGCTTTGATTTTTTTTTAAATAATCGTGATACTCTTGCTAGCCTGCAAATACATTGATAGAACAATTGAACAAATATGAAGAAATCACCTAACGGTTTTTTTTATTTTTGCTAGAAATTTTACCTCAATATGTTGTACACTTGGTTGCTTTTTTATCTATTTATTTATTTATTTGTTTCCATTAAATGTGTTTGCTTTTTGTTTTTTGTTTTCTTCTTTTTCTTGGGTTTTGTTCTTATTATATGGAAGGAATGTTTTAGGGAAGGAGGAGTTGTCAATTGTTTGTGAATAAAGGAATGCTTGTCTTACAGGCTTTCTGGGATTTAGTTCCCTTTTTCTTTCTTTTGTTTATAAAAAAACATTACATTAGATAACATCATTTTTGTTAACTTTTTTGAGGAGTATAATGAAGTGTGTGAATCAATGTTAATAGTAATTAAATAACAAATCAATTGTTGCTAAATAATTACAACAAAAATGGATAGAGGATTTGGAGTGCAAGAATATTTTATGAGTCAAATTCATCTACCTTTTTGTGTCCATATTGAAGCCCAAGTAAAGAATTTATTTTAGATCATTAATGTCTAATGACTCTATTTGGTTACAAGCACTAATTTATAATTTTAGTTAGTAAATATGCAGAACATATAAATCATCAATTTGCTTAATAATAATACTATGTGTATCATCTAAATGTGACTTGGGGAAAAAAAATGAGGCAAAATATCAATAGTCATGTGCAACAAAAAATTATCCATTTTAATTTCTTTTTATTACTTTCATATCTTTTTAAGTTTAGTGTTTGATAAGATTTTGGATCAAATTTTAAAAATTTATCTTTAAATAATTATTTAATCATAAAAATCTGAGCAGATCATAAAAATATGATCATCAAATCCCCAAAAATAAGCTAATATAAGTTTTTGGATATTTAAATTTTCACTCACAAAAGTTTGAATTTTTTCCAAAAAAATGCATGTCCAAACACAATTAAATTCCAAAAATCACAACTTTAAAAACTCATGCTTCAACTTCAAAAATTATGATCAAACAATAACTAATTTATTTTTTAAAACACTAATTTTAAGAAAATAATTTCTGAAAAAGATAATTTTCATTTTATTAATAGACTGATTCTTAATATAAATTTTTGGAGGAAAAATTCTAATTATTATTCTCTTACTTTCCTTGTAATCTTGATACATTTACACTTTTGCCCTTATTTTAGGTAAATTTTTAATTTCTATCTCTCAAAGGCAAATAACTTATTGATGAGATATAAACTTATTTATACATTATAATATTGCACAAATTATGCCCTCCTACTCTTTAAGAACTATACTTCAAATAAACATTAGTTTAATTTGTTGGTGTAAAAATTAAAAATCCATTTATTTGAAGGAAAAAAACATGCAATCACTTTCACATTAATAAGTGAAGTGAACATTAGGATTCCTTTGACCAAATTTGATCCTAATTTATTAGATTCAGTCTTAGAAAAAGATGAATGGAAATTATAAATATTCAAATTTCTTTATTTAAAATAAGTGTATTCGATCAATATTTAATGAATTTTATTTTTTCTAAAAATAAAAATTAAGTTTGAGGCTCAAAATAAGCATGGTGCCTTAATTTAGGATGTTGTGGTCCTATTTTATTTTATTTTTATAAGCCGCCAAGTAATAAAAATTTTGACTGGTAAAAAATAATTATTATGGATTTATAGCTTCCTTTTTAGGAATATGACTGATCGTACTAAAGGGGTTTTTCAAATTAATTTATTTAATTCCCAGTTTCTTTATTTATTTATTTTTTCTTTTTATTTAGGAAGAAGGGACCAGTTCCATAGTAGTACTATATATGTCTGCCTATACTATTGAAAGAAACATTAACAACATTTAAAATTATGTTTAGTTTTTTTTATTCTAAAGTGTGAATATCGAACGATATTGTAGATTTCACTATAATAATTATGTTTTTTTAAAAAAATTAATATTTCATGTTATATTTTTATGACGTTTTGGTTATAGTAGTATTTTACAATTATTGAGATAAATAGTGTTATTGTAAAGATATTTGATTATATTATTTAACTAGTAGTTTAATTGAATCCAAATGCTCGCTCTTATATATTAATATTTTATGTAAAGTTTTGACTTTAGCTATTTCGTCTATATATTCACATTGTTTAAATTCTCTTGCGGAGTTCTTTTGTGTATGTAGTAAGTAGCTTGCCTTTATTTATAGCTTCCTTCCCTAAACTAACCTTTCTCTACCACGATAATTTCTATATGCTGTTATGAAAAGTCAATTTGTTCGATATATAATCTTCATGCATTAAAAAAAGGTGAAAATGTTCTTTTTACTACAAGTATAAAATTTGTTGAACTCCATATAATAGTTATGTTCAATCGAAACCTAGTGAAACACACATACTTATCAATATAATAGTTATGTTCAATCGACGCTCAGCAAAACATACCTACTTATCAAATCACCACAACAAGTAATCCAAACTTAATGAATAGTTATCATATTCTTTAGGAAAAAATTTATCTGCATCGGTGTTTATACCAAACTAATTCAATTTCCACTATTATGTGATCAAATGAAGTAAAATTGTAGAAAAATAAAAAGGAGAAACGCTGAAGACCAAAAATGAGGGAAATTTTCTGAGTGATTTTTATTGAAGAAGGAACAACTATTTATGCTATTACAAAATAGCAGAAAGGTAAAATAATCTAAGAGATAACAAACTTTGCACACCTATACAAATTCTAGAAGGAACATCTAAGAAAATAATCTTATGCTATGTAGAAAAGATGATAAAATATAATGGGATATGAGTGAATGGCTTTCTTGATTGATAATGTTGATCTGAATGTTGGGTCATGAATATTGGATCGAATTTGACTTTAGAACAAATCTTGCGACTTGTTTCTCGTCATTCTTCATATGAGACTTGAATTTAGGGATTAAAACTTGGACCTGATTTTCATAACTGCGGCCTGGCCTTATTTTCATCATCATTCCAATACCCCCTTTTGCAATGATTAAGACCTGGGTCTGATTTTCATAACTGCGGCCTGACCTAATTTTCATCATCATTCCAATAAAAACACATGTTAATTAATAAAGTTAAGTAAAATGAATTATAAATTTAAACATATGACATGCATATATTGAACTGGTATAAACACTTTGTGTGGATGAGTTTTGACTTTTTTTTTCATTATTATAAGAGCGAAAAAGTGATAGTTTGTGAATTTTTATTTGTTACTATATAGTCCGCTCCCTCTTCCGGGCACATATGAATCGGCTTAGCCGTTTTGAGCTAATAAATAATTAATCAACAATTGAATTGAACTTTTGAATAATTCTGGTTGACTTAATCATAATTCATGTATAATCATACTTGTAATAGTGAAAAAGAGGGACTAGTTAATCCTTGATGTGTTTCATGATTAATGGGCCTAAGTAATTAATCAATAATAAGCACAAAATCATATACTAAAGTTTAAGCAATTAGTTAAATTCAACTGACGGCGGAAGTGGTTCTATTAGGACCCATAAATATATTAAATATATTACAAGTCTTGTCACAGACAAATGAAAAGGATACTATATATTATATGTAAATTATTACTAAATAAAATTATACTCCCTCCGTCTTTTTATTATTAATAATGCTTATTTATTTTATGACATCAGTAAATAATTGTATATTTAATTTCTAAATTATTATCACTAATTTATAATTATTTTCGTATTGCATTTTTTAAAATATTGTATTTCGAATAGTAATACAGTAAAATTATTATTTTATTTACAAATTCTCAAGAAACATGTGTAGACATTGAAATTCTGTACGATTCTACTAGATGTGTTCAATTCAAATTGAGACTCTAGAAAGTGTGTTCAGTTTCAATCAAACTACTCAATCATAAATCCTAGTTTATGTCGATATTAATCGTACTAAATTCTCGTAAAAGACATGTGGATATATTTTACAAAAGCCATAAATATTCATATAGAGATCAAATCTAAATCATCATAATTCAATAAATACACCACTAAAGCCCTCGAATTATAGATAAATCTTCTGAGAGGAAAATCAAGAGAGAAACAGAATTATACCTATACTATTATTAATAAAATATTTATATTTTCTTTAATTCTATTTATATGATTGATTTATATTTTATATATTTAAAATTTGTTACAAATAATATGTAAAGCCAATAATAAACCAGTATTATTCTACGGAAGGAATATAAACTTACATAAAATTTGAGTAGCTAGCCAAGTGTAGCTTCCACTACTATGAAATCCTTTGGGTCCTCAAATTTTGTGAATCATTAATGCTTGGAAAAAGAAAAGTCCTTTTTTGTTCTTTCATTTCTCAAAATTTGTGTTCAGTGGATATCTTAGTTGTCAATTTTTTTTTAAATCAAAAGCCAAAATTATACATTACAGCAAAAA